GGTAAGTCTAGTTCTGCATTCCGAAGCTCATCAGCTGTGAGGTACATCTCAACCTCGTTCGCAGTACATTCAACGACGTACATAGACTCAGAGACCTGAGTTACCATGAAGAAATCGGTCCCAGGGTCAGTACTCTGTCCTGACCAGTAGGGACGATACTGATCTAGTACCTGAGCAGCCCTCTGCTCGAACACGTTCCCTAGAGCATAGCGAGCCGCTCCCTCCTTCCAGGTGAGCGGGAACTCGAATTCTTCTGATTCAGTGTCACTGACTCGAACGTCATCATCTTCTACAGAGATCGGACAGTCTCCGCCTGATGACGAAGTCGTGTCAGACATTGGAGTCAAGCCAGGCATTGAGTCGTCACTCAGTATCGCCCAGGAGCGCTCAGACTTACTCTCAGGCTCACAGTCTCTCACACTAGCTTCTGAGTGAGAATGCAGTGAGGGTACGTCCTCGTAGTCAAATTCAAACGGTTCTCCAACGGACACAAAGGTTTCTGTCGACCTATTTAGCTCACAGAAGTCGTCCGAGACAAGTTCCCATGCGCTCCGAAGGCTAGGTACGTTTTGATAGTCGAAAGCGACACAGTTCAGCTGCAATTCAGTGGTAGAGGCCGTCGATTCAGCCAGACTTCTTAGGGCCTCAGTATCTTCGAGAATGACCTCCATATTGTACGTCGCAAGCCCTGGAGCTGCGTTCCTATTACTTGACCTTACTTGTCTTGCCCTAGGACAATTTCGAGCCATGTGGCCGCGTTCTCCGCAATTGAAACATCTTTCGGGGTCAAGAGGTGCTCTCGGCCTCCTCACTGGCCTGTTACGATCATGCGGCCTCGGAGGCCTTCGCTCTTGATTCGGAGGCGGTCTCTGATGCGGTCTGACACGCTGACGCTCCCTCGCAGATCCTCTGGCCAGGTTTCCGACGAAAATCCCAGGTTCCCTGTTCTGAGGCCGAGTGCGATCGCGTTCACGCCTCAACGGGTGTCTCTGATGGCCTCCGTGTCCGAACCCATGCCTTTGGGCATCCGGCCGACCGACTGGTCTGTCTGAGGGCCCCGGGATGTTGTCTCTGTGCCGAACTCGTGGGTTACGGTTAGAGTATGATCCACGGCTGTCTGTGGCTTCGCGGGCGAGTTCTATCACCTGCGCACGAGCTTTGACATCGTCGTAGGGACTTTGTAAGGTCATCATCTGTTTCCACAGCTCGCCCTGAATATATTTATCAAGCCCAAACCAGAATGCATCAACACGTTCCTCATTGCGATCCATGCCTAGGATTAGGAAGAGATTTTCGAGTTCATATGCATAGGTCTGAATAGGGCGTCCATTCTGACGAGTATTGCGAAGCTTTTCACGCATTTTCTGCCTGAAATTGATAGGGAAACAATAATTGAATAAGCCAACCAGGATGTCTTTAAACTGGTAAGCCTTCGAATTTCTAGAAACCGTATTAACATAGAACTCGTGGGCGCGTCCTCCTAAGAACCTAGAGACCACGGAGGCATGGCTCCGTGGCTTGACTCGATAACCATCCAGATACTCCTGCATCTGGTTGATGAACTTGTGGAACTCAGCGAGATCCGGATTCCCATTATACTTCTCAGGCTCTATAGGCTTCAAAACTGGCACGTCCGACTTGTGCTTATTGTTATGTCGCCGTTTGGAGTGCCTGCGCTTCTTAGACCCCCGGCGGTGCTTGTGCCTACGCCGTTTACGAGGGGACGACCCTTCAGAGCTACTAGACGAGCTGTCTGAGGAACTAGGCTCGCTGGGGCTCTCCGAGCTCGGACTTTCTGAGTCTGATGATGAAGAGACGCTCGACCGACGGCTCCGACTAGAGCTGGAACTTGAAGAACTCGGAGAACTTCCTCGGTAGGAACGGTCTTCGCTGTCTGACCCTTTAGCCAGATTGCGAATGGTTCTATTGATAAAACTTCCAGGTTCCAGCTGAGAAATTGGCTGTGGTAGCCGTCGGACATCCCTAGTCCGAGGGGTTAGTTTTACCCTACTAGGCTGGCCGAGAGCGTCTTCCACGATGGTGGTAGCCATGCCTAGCGAGGGATCAGCAAAGGCGACCTTCTCCTTTGCCTTGGGGGTTTTTCCCTTAGCCTTGGACTTATCCTTAGTCGCTTTAGAGCTCTTCCGAAGGGCATCGCTGATAGACTTATTCAATCTGACAGTTCCAACCTCGGAGCGCGAATTCTCGTCCATGGACAGGAGTGCTTGTTCGCCCGAGCGCCGACGGTGATGTTCGTGCTCCCGTGTCCCCAATACTTCCTCGGGGTCATCAGGGGTCAATTGCGCCCTCCTGACCTTATCCAATTCCTTTCGGAGGGCCTTTACTTGTTTTTCAAGGTCCTCACGCGAGGTGGGCTGTATCCCTGAGCTTTGACGAGCCGTCGTCTGCCCGTCAAGTGTCCCTCGAGCCTTATCATGGCGCGATGACCGCACCCTTGGGTTTTCATGAACCCGGCTCTGATGGTTTGTAACACTATCATCCGATATGTCTGTTGCTGTGTGAACGGAGGCCTTAGGGTGCCGTTTGGATGCCTTGACGGCGGCATAATATTGTAGGGCAGCATCTCTGGATTGCTGTTCCCCCTCCGAATCTTTATCTGACACGTAGTATTCCTCGCGCTCCTTACGCGCGGCGAGCCTGTCGAGCTCTTTCTGTTGTGCCCTCACGTCGTACTCATGCGGGCTGAGGCTTATACCGCCCCAGTTACGGGGATCAATCATTTTCCCTTTATTAATTGCAGAGGGCCCTTCCTCTTGAGAAAGCGACCGCTCCCGGGGCCTACTTACAGCACGCATCCTTTTCTTAATGCGGCCTCTTTCTTCCTTAGTAAGTGAGTTCTCTGCCGCGTTTACAACGCGCCGTTGCTCCGGATTGAGAGGAGCCAGCCTCGCCGGGGGTACCTTGCCCGGTCGAGGGAGCGCGGCATCCAAACTACGCGCGCGGGGTTTCTTACGACGCACCTCGGTCCATTGACCGGCACTACTGACGCTGTCCGACGCGACGTTAGTCGCTGTCGGGTTCACACTGGGTTCTATTACAGAAAAAGGGGTTATATTCTCCTTATTAGAAGGGGGTAGGGGTGACTCCTCAGCAGTACCAGCCTGCGAGGAGTGTATGCGCGGATATGCCTCCCGCCCGTTAGACGGGACGGTGTCTGCTCCGGAATCCCGTGGGTCTGCCGCCCGGTCGCTATGCGACGCGGTGTCTGCCCCAGCACGATTGGACACGGCCTGGCTGTACGAGACACCAGGCCGGCGGATGCTAGATCCGGAGCGAGCGCTCGAAGCCACCGACGCGGCGTCCGAGTGCTCGCTGTCTGAAGCAGATGCATCAGTACCTTGGGCAGAGAGGTTAAGGGACGTACCAGGAGGCGGTGCGAGACCGCTGTGAGCTCCCGGGCGAGGACCCGATGCGCGAGCTCTCAGGTTGTACCTGATGGTAGACATCTAGAGATGAGTTTGGTTAGTTTTCGAGTTTTACCTATTTGCTTTGAGAGTGTAGACACAGATAGAGAGATAGAGAGGAGAGGAGAGGGGTATTGCTGCCAGAGAGGAAAGCCAAGTTGATCAGACTCGGGGAGATCCAGTCGTCGGCAGCGAGAGTTTAAGAGTTAAGCAGTAGAGTCGATAGTTCTGTCAAAAATATGTCGCGTGGGCGAATCCGGATTAGGAAGGGGACACGCGACACGAGAGCGCTGGTCCTAGACAGGTTCAAAGACTGAGATTCTGCCTAGAATACGCTACCGTAACGAGAGTACGAGGTCGGGTATAAATACGATACGTACGAGACGCCCGAGTAACAGGGATTACCGAGAAATTGAGTCCATGAGTAATGACAGTCGGTGAACGCATGGTCCAGGTGATGGGAATGAGCAAGCAAGGAGTAGGAGTAAGTAAGCAAGAGGAACGGGATCAGATGGAGGAGGTGCGAGGAGATGATGGGAGTAGGTACGGCGGGATGGAGCGAGAGCGAACGAGCGCCGGGCGC